GTCAAGAATACTCTGTGTTGTAGTCGACGTCAAGAATACTCTGTGTTGTAGTCGACGTCAAGAATACTCTGTGTTGTAGTCGACGTCAAGAATACTCTGTGTTGTAGTCGACGTCAAGAGTGTACTCGACGTCAAGAGTGTGTTGTAGTCGACGTCAAGAATACTCTGTGTTGTAGTCGACGTCAAAATACTCTGTGTTGTAGTCGACGTCAAGAATACTCTGTGTTGTAGTCGACGTCAAGAATGCTCTGTGTTGTAGTCGACGTCAAGAGTACTCTGTGTTGTAGTCGACGTCAAGAATACTCTGTGTTGTAGTCGACGTCAAGAGTACTCTGTGTTGTAGTCGACGTCAAGAATACTCTGTGTTGTAGTCGACGTCAAGAATACTCTGTGTTGTAGTCGACGTCAAAGAATACTCTGTGTTGTAGTCGACGTCAAGAATACTCTGTGTTGTAGTCGACGTCAAGAATACTCTGTGTTGTAGTCGACGTCAAAGATACTCTGTGTTGTAGTCGACGTCAAGAATACTCTGTGTTGTAGTCGACGTCAAGAGTACTCTGTGTTGTAGTCGACGTCAAAGGGTACTCTGTGTTGTAGTCGACGTCAAGAATACTCTGTGTTGTAGTCGACGTCAAAGTACTCTGTGTTGTAGTCGACGTCAAAGAGTACTCTGTGTTGTCACAAGTCGACGTCAAGAGTGCTCTGTGTTGTAGTCGACGTCAAGAGTCCTCTGTGTTGTAGTCGACGTCAAAGAGTGCTCTGTGTTGTAGTCGACGTCAAAGGGTACTCTGTGTTGTAGTCGACGTCGACGTCAAGACGTCAAAGGGGTACTCTGTGTTGTAGTCGACGTCAAGAGTACTCTGTGTTGTAGTCGACGTCAAGAATACTCACTCTGTTGTGATCGACGTCAAGAGTACTCTGTGTTGTAGTCGACGTCAAGAATACTCTGTGTTGTAGTCGACGTCAAAGAATACTCTGTGTTGTAGTCGACGTCAAGAGTACTCTGTGTTGTAGTCGACGTCAAGAATACTCTGTGTTGTAGTCGACGTCAAGAGTACTCTGTGTTGTAGTCGACGTCAAGAATACTCTGTGTTGTAGTCGACGTCAAGAATACTCTGTGTTGTAGTCGACGTCAAGAGTACTCTGTGTTGTAGTCGACGTCAAGAATACTCTGTGTTGTAGTCGACGTCAAGAATACTCTGTGTTGTAGTCGACGTCAAGAATACTCTGTGTTGTAGTCGACGTCAAGAATACTCTGTGTTGTAGTCGACGTCAAGAGTGCTCTGTGTTGTAGTCGACGTCAAGAGTGCTCTGTGTTGTAGTCGACGTCAAGAGTGCTCTGTGTTGTAGTCGACGTCAAGAATACTCTGTGTTTCAATCAGGGAGAGCATGCTCTGGTGATTGGGGTTGGTTTGATGTCCTTGTGGGTAGTAATAACGTTATGTCGGGCTGTGCTAATTGTGGGAGGGAATTCTGGGGTCTGAGGTGATTGATACTTTGGTAGGGCGGGGTAGGTGCTTACAAGCCAAGAAGGGCGAAACTGGGGTTCGAACCTGTTGTTGTTGGATTCTTGTCGGGATTCTGTGAGGAAGCGTCGGTACCACTGCAGGTGAGTGAGTATGGTTTTAGGCCGCTTTCAGGAGCAATATTACGACCGGGGGACACCAAAAGTCGGCTTCACACGTTGTGCCCTTGTGGGGAATCGAACCTTGGTCATCGTCGTCGCGAGCGAACGCTTTAACCACCAACCGACTGAGCACGATTTTAATATCAGGGTCGAGCGAAAACCTGAGTATAAAGGTGGATGTAATAAATTCATCTGGCATCTTGCCAGCTGACATGTTAGAACTATCATCATCTTACCGCGTCCGGGAATCAGATGATAAACACTGAGATCCCAACAGTGTAGGGCATGCATGTAACATCACCTACCCGAACATGTACACTTGTCATGACATACATGTTTCTGAATCGGGGTGTTTTTGATCTATATGAATTTAATGCCGGGAGAAGAGGCCAACAAAGAAGGGGCAGAAAGTAGACCTTTCTTTCAGCGGTCAGTAACTATAATTTGTGATCACATAGTCAACACCTATTGGCCAGGACTGCATTGCGACCGAAGGAAACACACATACACTTACTTTTGCGTAACCGTGAAGATCCGGGTCGGAATAGGCCTTCAGCAACCCATGTTCGTCATAAGAGACGACTGACGGGATCGGGTGGTCATGACTTGCTTGACACATGTCATGGTATCCCAATTGCGTAGATCGATGCTCATGATGTTGATCACTGGATTGTCTGGTCCAGACTCGAATATTTACAGACCACCGCCATATAGCTGGAATATTGCTGAGTGCGGTGTTAAACAACAAACAAACAACAAACAAACAACCTTCTATGCAGATTGTATGAGCGGCTTTTACTGCCGGTTGGGATTGACAGGCTTACTCTTTTCGCAAACACCTTGTGTCGTCACGATTTTCAATGATGCATTCATATATTTTTTCGCAATATACGTCCAGATGAATCTGTTTTCGCAGATAATCGAGACTGGATATTCTCTGGTGTCGACCATATGTATTTAATTGTGATGCTCTTAAATGCAAACTGATGTGTTAAGATGTTTTATCAATAAATTGAATGCTTGTGCAAACTAACGTATATTATGACTGCATCGGCGATATAGAGCCCAGTGATTGATGATCAAAACAATCTAAATACGTTTTTCAAACGTTAGATCCCCACGTCATAGCTCATGAAACAGGAATTGTGAATTATTAAGTAACGTTGACAGTATCAATTTGCGCGTGCTCTGTGCTGCGGGACAGTTATGTATGACGTCATCAAATATGCAGGACCTGGGGAATTAATACGGACATTAAGAACAGGGAAGATCATATTCCACGCAGCACATCTGTATGTGATTAATGTCTTAAATTAATCAGATCGTGCACGTGGCTATTGTGTTATTCACAGCAAAATATTTTCTGTAAAGAATATCTTTGTTTGATTAAATGATATTCCGTGCACACCAGGGAATCGTTTGTCTTGACGATGTAAGGCAGAAAAGTACCAAGCGGATTAACGAAGATGCCACAGTCATCGGCGTTAAACCTGACGCTACCGTTGTCATGGGAATCGTCCGGAACGGCAAATGCCCGGATTACATACGTTTGCAATTAACAAGTTGTCTCATTGACATATAAACGTTCCAAAATATGATATTCAGAATAGTATCTGCAAATCAAACAGAAAATAGTGCCATCAGAAGTGACGGTTTAATGCAAATATCTTAACGTGGGGGTCAAAGGGGAATCACGTGATGTCAGTCTGAACAGGTATGCCTGAAAGGTGGTTTATGTTTCACAACTGATACTTCTGTCCTACGGAATAAATATATCACGCGTGTTTATTGACACCTGCTAGATTTGAGAAAGGCGCACATGTCAACACATATTTCTATTTGTATTATTGGACATGAGACATATTTGACCCACCCACACACACTGGCGGAACATATTTCAATCAATCCAACCACGTGGAATCAGCACCGGTGTCGGGCTCGCCGCTGGTCGTGCAAATAATTTGACCGGAAGAGGTCAGTGACAATTCCCGGCATGCACTGAAGCCACTTCCTGGCGAGTCCTTGGAACAATTGATCTGTGTTAAAACATACCGGGCAGTGTGTACAGGTATTCAATGACCGCAGACACACTGTCCATTTATTGGTTATATCGGACGGAGTCAAGTGATAATTCATGTTAACTTTCTAAACAAGCAAGAATGTAGTCAATGACGGTTAAAATCAATGGCTAACAAAGGAACCCCCAATGAGAAAAACAAGACTCCTTGACCATACACACCCCACGTTAGACGGATACCTGACATACTTCACACACACACACGCACGCACGCACACACACACACACACACACACACACACACACACACACACAAATGACGCCTCTCATCATCAGATACATATTAACGACGCTCAGGTGTAATAATTCAACTCCTTAATCCGAGGACATTAACCAGAGTACCTATTATTCATCAATATGCATAGAGATAGTGTTATCATGATTTAAGATATCAAATAAAACTAGCACCCATTCACTACTTTGAATAATCATAACTTGAGTGAACTTAGTGAAGCGTTAAACAGATGTATTACACTCATATCGTTTTGTTGAACGCACTTTAAATTTTAACTTGTTAAATTTTCCGTATTTCTGTTAAAAATGTCATTCGATGAAATGTTACTTTTTAGAAAGTAAAATAACAGGGCGATATTGCACAGGTTAACCATTTTACAATAAAGGCCGATTTGATAAAAGTCACTGGAAATATTGAGTGTCCTCACTTATTTATAGCACTGCTTCTTCCTATACCGTACTCACTACTGGCTGGGTGACGATTACAGCTCTCTGATATTTCACACCAACACGTATCCGTCACATAAATATAAGAATCATATCTCTTTTTCCAATTTTGTTTTTACATACTTATGATTATACACGAAATATTGTGAAGATGAAGTACGATGAGATATATTGGGAACATGAATTTAAGATTGTAATGTTGACATAATGGGGGTTGATCAGATATGATGGTGAACTGATGTACAAATATAGATTAGCACATATCAACATGTATCAAACATGAACACCAGGAGATACCCGGCATCCACCAAAGCAGGTACCAGTGAGAGTTATAGGAAAACATCACTGGTGACACCGGGTGTTATAAGGGACCTCTTTGGCCAAGGGGTTTGTAATTTTACAATCGGACAGATTCTTTAAGCCAAACAAAACGTAACTTTCACCTTACTTTCTGTAACAATTTCTCACAATTCATCAAACACTATGAGTATTTCACAAACAGACATGTAGACACAGCCAGCAACATAATCTGCTCAGTGGTCGGAAAACATATGATTAGTACGTAATCGTACATGTAGAAGCGCTGTTGGGTAGAAGTTCACTTAAAACACTTACCTTTGGATAAGGACGTTATACGTCTACTTCAGCTGCTGTGAGGTATAGTGTGGTATGCCTTGTCCACTGGTCAGTGTGTATGACCAACTGTCCACCCAGGTCTATTACATACCTGTACCTGTGGCCAAGAAAAACAACCTTTCATTAACATCTTGTTACTTGTGCCTGGATGATTGTCCGAACTCGGACATAAGAAAACATGGGCTGACCGCTGGGCATTTCGCCCTCGAATCAATTACACTGATCCGGCCCATTCAAACATTCTTTACAAATAAGTATTCGTATAATGCGGTGTTTGTTTTCAGGCTTACTCCGATCAGTAACTAGTTTGTCACAAATCGTCGCCTCCCGCATTTACAACGTTAAGCCGCATTGATCAACACTCGATGCTAATTGATTCGCCGTAGTCGTAATTCAGTCAACTCTTCAATCTATTGTTGATTAATGCTCACTGGATAGCTAAAAAGTCGCGATAATTTCTTGGGTAAACAACAGGAATCGTCACTTTCCGTTGGCCGCCTACCCATTTCACGCGCGGAAGTTTCATGCTAACCCTCGAGAAATAAAATCAACACAACCGACGTTCCTCTCCAACGGATGTCGCGTTGGAACCGTGGTCGATGGCGATGTCGTCGTCGGGATGCAGAGCAGCAAATATGTTTTACGTGGCTGAGACGTCGCTGAATTCGTTGTAAAGTATTTGAGGAGTGAAACATCGATACGTGAAATATTATGCCATGCAGTTTTGCAGAATGTCAATGAATTTAGACGGATTGTGATGTTGAAGTGTTACCAGGTGAATTGGATTTCAAATATTAAATAAAGTTTGAGTGTTATTTTGTGAGTTTCAAAGTTGTTTAGGAATTAGATTGTTGATATTTGAACTATCATTCAGAGAAACTTGGGTGGAATTGTACAGTGAATTATTTATCCGCTTTAAATCATTACATGGTTCATATCATGATGAGACACAAATTAAACTACTCCGACTAGATACTAGATCCTGAGGATGTGTGAATCAATTATAACACCGGGTGTTCACGTTCACAGTGTGTTTTCTTTATCATACCCTACATGACACAATGCACACATCACGAACGATGCTTCTATTTCTAAAATAATCTATTTTCAATAAAAGAAACCACTTTAACCATACTTATTCAGGACATAAGACTAAAATGTCTGCGGGAGTATTGGGTGTAGACGAATAGATACATTACATGAGCAAACAATAACAAATGCTTGATGTACAATGATGAATTAAATTAGGCTAGTTCCACTTTCAATACATGGTCCAGGGATTAACACACCGGGGTTTCACAACGCCTCAGTGTGAGACAATACACTCACTCAACAATACACCAACACCGGTCATCGGTTGTCCTTGTTTCACACCTGTCCATCAATGGAATACCACTGACCAACACTAAAACGTGTCATCTTTCAATAGAACTCACAACTTGTTGCTAAAATGAACTTGTTTTGTTGACAGATTGTCTTAAACACTAAACCTTTTGAAGCGGGAACGAAGTGATAGTATTCCATTGTTCTTTGAAACTGTCTTTTTGAAGTTGAAACATTAAAGGATGATTGCTTAAATATTTTAATACTCAGATAAAGAGACTCCTGTTTTCAAAATAGCTTTTAACGACTTTTTAACGATAACACTATCCTCCTAATGTTTTTCGACATCCAGTTCGAAAACACGACTTTCGGTAATTTCTATTGCTGTTGAGTGTTGACAACATATTTCCGTTTGAAGATAATTTATAGAGTTAGCACGGAAAGTTATACACTGTATGTGAGTTATAGAATATGGTAAGAAGCATTTTCCACTCCCTAAAAGAAACAAACCCCTATATTAATGGTTCCGAATTCGAATTTTGAGAAGTTTCCAGTTAATCGCCTTTTCCACTTATTTGATAATGATTGCACCATACCGTCACAAGATAAGCTTAACTAGAGCGACCCGGTTAGAGCAGGTCTTTGACGCGTTGTTACGCTGTTTGTAAGAGGAGTCGGGTCGGATCTGATGGTCAGGAGTGTATACAAACACACATACAACACAGTTGGCTTAGGTTGTGCTCATGCTTTCAATCACTGGTTTGACCGGGATATTTACACGCCGTTATGACATACACACAGACGGAGTATCGTCGACTGCGGCGTCGAACATCCCTTACACGCAAGTTGGAGAAAAGAGAAAAGAAATAATTCTCAAAGGACCTGTAGGACATAACGGAAGGGAAATACACATGTTGAAGTCAGAAACCATGGCGACAGATTTTAATGCCGGTTTGTACATTATGTCGATGTGTTGATACAGGAGTACCGTCCGAAGTGAAACAGGTGCTAGACGTTTACCGTTATGTGAAACCCATGAGCACGGGCATAGACCTGACAAATCCAGTCACAGATCAGAACCAACCGGGACTCGAACTCTCAGTATAGACAAACTAAACATTGGGTTGATGTAAACATACGGACACGCATGCAATGTTGTCAGGTAATATTATCTTTTACGTACTACTATATTTATACAGATATCGAATGCAGAAACTCACCCGTTCACCACTAGGATAACGGTACCTTAAAGCTCTATTTTAAGCACCTTGTCACTTTTTAGAATCTTTTGGGATTTACGTTTCTTGAGCTGTTGCATTTTATACTTCTGTTTGCCAGTTTGCGCTCAAAGCGGACAGCATTGTGTAAATGACAACGGTGTTCATTTCCGATCCTTGAAGTTGAGAACAATAAATATGACTATTTGAGTTCTAAACATTCAACTCATCCCGATTCGAACTCCGATATTCTGAAAGTTCTCCAACTAAGTCCTATTCCGTTCTTTTTCACGTTCAGAAATTACATCCATTCACAACACGTCCGTATTTTCAACTACAATGGACAACAGTTTAAAAATGTTATTTTGTATTTTCTGGCCTTGAATCGTTATGTGAAACATTTGAAGAAAATAAAACATCGCTAATACATGGTAAGACACCGGTCAACAACAGACAATGAAAAGTGTAAACAGATGAAACAAAGAAACGTTCTGTGGTATGCGCGAACGCTGTGGTGCAGCATCTCACAGTCACAGGTGAACATATAGTTCAGAGTTACCTCCCCCTTTATTACGACTACCACAAACAAGCGAAAACAAATCCCCCTGTTTAATGTTGTGTGGATCTACTTGAAGATATAACAAATCTCATTTAGATAGTGGTGTCGTCTACATAACACTCAAGGTTACATTTAAAGAAGACTAAAACCACATTTAATCAAGAGTTATATCGAACTTAAACTGTCGATAAAACAAGGTCTGTCACAAGTAATGTCTAACACCGAGAAATCAGTTTGTTTTAAACTCGACACTTATAACGTTGGAACAGGTGTACAAGCTGACACAGAGGAACTCCCTGGAGTGTTACTGAACTTCGGTGAACCTTAAACTTCAATAAATATGTAATACTATATATACCATCCTAAAAGATCGTTTTGTCAATTATTTCAGTTACATATATATAACCATTAAAACAGCAGCCATGTCCCTATATTACAAGACATATATTTCGTACCAAAGGTTTTTCATTTCAAAACTAATGGGAACTGGAAACGTTTCCTGGTTGCCACCGGTGGACAGGAGACACTGACCTTGTCATGAATGCCTTATGTCATCGATATTTGAAATGATGACAAAACCCATGCTTATAACATAGTCGGAATGGTACACCGAACTCTTGAAGAGGAGAATTCCTAGCATCATTGGAAAATGTTTTTTCTCGCTTTTAGTTAGCAGATAATCTGGACTATACCTAGACTATGGTGAGTTCCACAAAAAAGCTAAGACAATAATTAAGCAAGGCTTCACGTGAGCCTGCCCATTTCTGAGGTCGTGGAAGGTAGAATACTACCTTCTGTTGTACTACACCCATAAAACATACAAGAAGTGGATATTCGGTGGTGATGAATCCTAGCTGCCTTTTCGACCTGAAGTTTGCATTGTTTCAGCCTGGCAATGGGTAAGTCCTAATTTTAAGCGCCCATTTACCTGACAGTTTAGATGTAGATTTTAATACTTGAAACAAAAGCATTCTGTGAAGGTAGTCGGACATGTTTAGTCAAAATACAGACAGATATGTGAGTGCTTGACATGTGTTAGATGTATTATGTAGAAGGCGACGTTGCATCACATCACCTCTCACAAATAAGCTCCCATCCCTGTATCAATATTAAACGGTTCCGTGTCTCTACTGTTTTCATGTTGTTTGTAAATCGGAAAATATATCTGTTTTATAGGATAAAATGTTGATTTGTGTTCAGTAAACATTTCAATATTTGCAGTTCTGCATGGAGATTATAATATTGTTTACGTTCTTTGACATTGCAATATAACCTTGCATACATAAGCACTATGGACTTTAAATGCATGTTCGTGGAGTCCCAATATTTATGTGTTTTCTGAGCATGCTTTGCTACAGAAATGATAATATCATGATAGAAAAATCAAAGGGATTTAGTAGATTCCTTTCTTTCGCCTCCTCAAATTTCAAGCGCTTACAAACACCACAAAACACGATCTGAAAAAGTGAAAAATAAATAGACTTCCTCCTGGAATGCGTATAGCTAAAGGCCCTATTGTTCTGTGATGCACAGAAGTGTTTGTCCACCGTCTTCGTTATCACCACGACAGTATTACAGGTTGCAGACAGGGTGCCTGAGTCATGTACAGGACACAACGATGACACAATATTGATATGCCTATTGACATAGTGAACACAATGTCAACACAATGTTAATGCCGTTAATGAAGAGAATAGTGGATTCATGTTAAGAATCCTTTAAAGTTGGTCTTAAAATTATCAAAATACAGTTCTTGCGAATTTATTTATCACAAGTAACTGACTGGGAACCCTGCAACATTTGGGTGTAAACAATATATCTAAGATGAATAAATGTAAATATCAAGGTTACGGTATTTTTTAAATCTTTTTTATCTGCATAACAGACACACATTACAAGATACAAGGGAGGGCAAATGCTATGTAACAAAATATATATTCCAATTGGTTTGTAAAATGTAAAAATTAATACTAATTCTTACACATCTTTGTCTCTATTTTGCCTTTTACCCCAAAAGAAAAGTTTTCGGCAGATAATCAGTTATTCTTTTTGTAGTCGGTCTTCAAATGCTTGTTTGTGAAAGTTGTATGTACATGTATAATGATGTTCAGCAAAAAGAGAATAATCAACAGACTGGGCTTTGTTTGGGAATTACATTTGTACCTCCAAAGCAAACCAGAGCTTATCAGGAAACAAGGACAACACAATGTCATCAGGTGTTAACATTACACTTAATTAGTTGTTGACATAAAGCACTTCACCTCCCACAGCCATTAAAGTCAGTCTTCAATACCTGTCTCCGGTACATGAACACCATCTGGAATAAGTAGTCTAATAAGCAAATTCTAGTGAAAAAGCTATCACTGTTAAGGTTACTTGTTTGTTTCCAGTATTGACCACACAAACCGATGACTGATATCTTGAGCAACCAAGTATTGAAGTCATATAATCAATAAGTCACCGATCCTGACCATCCGATCCGCCGGGTCGCCTCTTACGACCAGTATAGGCTGATAGTGTTGATACCGGCACGGTAGGGGCCACGAATTTAACATAGGAATAGAGGTATATAGCTCAGCTGATGCTATATATATATATGTGAAATATATAACAGTACACGAATTCCGTTATCTGTCCTCTTCAATTAGAAACAATACATGCGGCATGTCTTATTGCAGTAAGTTCACAGTTTGGTGTTCAGTGCACCACTCTAACATTGTTCCTATTCAGTAGATCAAACGAAGCATGTTATTCCGTACAAACGAAAATGATCACAGGGTATTGATTTTGACATTCTGAATAAATCAGCATAGTGTTAAGATCGAATGGTTGCACTTCTAAAGGAGACACGCTTCATTTGACGCTGTGAATCAAATCACTTGAGGCAAATGGTATAAAATATACATCTACCCAAGGCATTTTGTGCCTGGAGTATTAAATATTTACATTGGTACCTTGTTCAACTGTCTTTATAAGACCGCTTTGTTTCTATTCTATCTTTTGAAGTAGTTTGTAGTTTGAATATGTTTTTAAAGACTTACTGTGCTTGTTACACCGCAGTATAGGGTCTTTCAACTGTCGATTGGTTCTTTTATGCTTTCTATTCGTCTTTTAAATCCATATTGTTTATTTCTAATTAGTTGATTGTATTGCATCGTCAGAGAACAAAAGGAAACCAGGACTCTTGTGGGTGAGTGAGTGAGCTAGGTTACACGCCGCTTTAAACAGTGTTACAGTTATATGAAGGCGTGTCAGCTGGATGAGTGAGTGAGTGAGGTTACACGCCGCTTTGAACAGTGTTACAGCTATATGAAGGCGTGTCAACTGGATGAGTGAGTGAGTGAGGTTACACGCCGCTTTGAACTGTGTTACAGCTATATGAAGGCGTGTCAACTGGATGAGTGAGTGAGTGAGTGAGGTTACACGCCGCTTTGAACAGTGTTACAGCTATATGAAGGCGTGTCAACTGGATGAGTGAGTGAGTGAGGTTACACGCCGCTTTGAACAGTGTTACAGCTATATGAAGGCATGTCAGCTGGATGAGTGAGTGAGTGAGGTTACACGCCGCTTTGAACAGTGTTACAGCTATATGAAGGCGTGTCAGCTGGATGAGTGAGTGAGTGAGCCAGGTTACACGCCGCTTTGAACAGTATTACAGCTGTATGAAAGCGTGTCAGCTGGATGAGTGAGTGAGTGAGGTTACACGCCGTTTTGAACAGTGTTACAGCTATATGAAGGCGTGTCAGCTGGATGAGTGAGTGAGTGAGTGAGCCAGGTTACACGCCGCTTTGAACAGTGTTACAGCTATATGAAGGCGTGTCAGCTGGATGAGTGAGACAGTGAGCCAGGTTACACGCTGCTTTGAACAGTATTACAGCTATATGAAAGCGTGTCAGCTGGATGAGTGAGCGAGTGAGTGAGTGAGGTTACACGCAGCTTTGAACAGTGTTACTGCTATATGAAGGCGTGTCAACTGGATGAGGAATGGGCACTAAGTGATGCGTATGTGATGTGGCTTGTACGCTGGGTCGACTGTTTGAAATTGTACGATATTTGTACTGATCTTAGTGCTAGGTCAATGTAAAAGATGGGATCGTGTTAGTAGTAAGGTCGGAAACGATCAAAACTGTCAGCCCATTTCTTAGGGCCTCGTTGGTTGTGGATTATTTTCAAGGTTTCAATATTTCAATTATTGAAAATGAAGTTAGTTGATGATGATACATGTACCATTTGTAAAGCCGTCCCTGAAGATATATCACATGTCTTCTTTGAATGTCAATTTGTTCGGTTAAACTTTTGGGTTAAAGTTGAAGAATGCCTTAATGATAACCTTCAAACCAATCTGACACTATCTAACTTCATCATTATGTTGGGACTGCCGTCAAATAACCAAGTAGTAAATCACATTTTACTACTTTCAAAAAGATTAATCTATACTTCAAGCTTTAAACAGCAAGATATATCCTTTGCAGAATTTCTCAAGTTACTTAAAGACATATGCTATATCGAAAGGTTTATTGCAAAGAAAAATAATAAATTTAGTTGTTTTACTAGGAAATGGCAACACTTAAATATGGTACTCTGACATTTTAATTTAGCACAGATGCAGTTTGACCTACTCATACTATTGTGTCCGCTACAGTAATAATATTTTCCAACTTAACTCCTATTTATCTCTATATGTACACCCGCATATGTGTATACAATGTTGTACCAACTTGATGATATAACTGCCAACACATGTCACTCTTCTGTCTGTACATGCAACTTGAAATGGAATAAAAAAAGATTAAAAAATACATAAAAATATTGGTATCTCGACTAGAAAATTACATCTGGATTCCTAACTATAAATTTATATCCCCTTTCACTGCTCAGATAAAATATTGGGCAAACAAAAATAAGTAAGTATACCAGAATTCATGTGTGCAGTTGAAATATAAACGCATACTTCGGTGCGATGAGACATATCGATAGTAAGGTCGCGATACGATACAAGACATTTGATAGCTTCATCCTTGTCCTATCAGGAGCCAAATCCATTGTGAAAGTGATCTACAAGAAGCTGATCCTCGACAGGTGCATCGTCCTCAGGTCATGTATCGTTACGTATCACCAGGTCATGTATCGTTACGTACCATCAGGTATGTATTGTTATGTACCATCAGATCATGTATCGTTACGTACCATCAGGTGATGTATCGTTACGTATCACCAAGTCATGTATCGTTACGTACCATCAGGTCATGTATCGTTACGTACCATCAGGTCATGTATCGTTACGTACCATCAGGTCATGTATCGTTACGTACCATCAGGTCATGTATCGTTAAGTACCATCAGGTCATGTATCTTTACGTATCATCAGGTCACGACACGATACTCTGTTATATAAGGATGACCTGTAAACAAGTATTCGCAAAATATGTACAACAGGTCACAAGTAATCGTTTTCATGACTAAATACAAATCTACCATGTTACTGTTCGCATACATCCCTACATCAGTGTTTAATAGAAGGGTCTTGGTCCACAGCGTCTTGTTTCTTCTCACCCGACTGGGAGTCGAGGTCACGGAGAACTAAAGTCAGACTAACAAAAACCTAACTGACTGCCGCGGGTCGTGTACGCTCGGTTTTAGAGTTGCTTCCAGCGTAGATCTACAGCAAACACTGTTATTCCGGACTCAACCCTTTAAGTGACATCGTCCAGATTAACAATACTCCGGACTAATGAAGTCTGTAAACCATGGATTTGTAGGTAGGTGTTTTACACAGAGGGCTCGTCACTGAATATTAATCCGTTGCGAGTGAATTCCACCTTTAAAGAAACACTGGATATGTTTGAAAACTATAATTTGCTCCCCAAAATGATGCCATTGGGAAAATGTCCTCAGGTTGAAAAAATATACTTTTGTCTGGACATGATGACAGAAAATGTGTTGTGGTTTTCCCAGAGTTGACCAGACAGACAGGTCTGTCTCTGCCAAATATAGAAACATCTGCCCGGTCTGCATTCATTGCTAAAATATGGTACTTGATGTTACCCTGCCTGCTGCTCGGGGATGAAACGATGACAGGTTGGCTAGGGGTCATTACTCATTGTCTGAGTGGCGTATACATGTTAAATGCTGGCATAGGATCTCAGTGGTCTAGCACGATGGAACCGACATTAGTACAGACGCATGCACGATCACGCACGCACACACATGCGTGCTTGAAACCGTTAAATGTGTGATAATCTTTAACGCCACGTTTCGCACATAAATCCCCGTTTGTATATTACACGGTTCCTTGTATCTACCGTTGCCATGTAGTTTCTAAATCCCATATGTCTGTTTCACGGGATAAAAGTTTAATTTGTGATTATTTTCTCTGAACATTAGCATCGACACAATTGGAAGACTGCCAAGGGAGTAAAATGTTTCGCAGAAATAATGGGAATTTCTTGCAACACATCACTGTGGCACCTGGAATCGTCAATATTGGACCGTGGTTCATAAAACACATGCTTAATATTTAGTGGGAATCATACATGAAATTACGATTTTGGAAATGGTTTTGTCGCTTTTTATCTAAGGAGATTTCTTAAAATGAAAATAGCTCAACACATATCGCTACAGAACATCAGAGAATCATCACTGCAGAAACCGATTCTATTGGGCGCAAAAGCTAAAATCTGATGAACATTGTATTAATGTATATCACTAAACATCAGGGCACAGGGAGTTCGCTGATAGAAATTTCTTTAAAACAAAATCCTTAAGAAATATATGATGCTTAACTAACACATGCACCATTCTTACCAGAGTCCTTGTAGAATTACTTCTTTTCAAAGAAACGAGTTCCACCTTCTTGAAAGAATCCGTTTGAAACACAGAAACCCCGTCACATAAATCCAAAGTCAAGAAGTCCAATAGTCATAAACACAGTCTGAAGCTACTCGAGAAATATCTAAAGCGAAAAGCAGAAATTACTCCGCCGAAGTCTTGGATCGCCAGACGCCTTTGGTAAGTCTCCTCAATTGTATTACCTAACTTCGCCGTTGAAGAGCCTCATCGATGTTTTCTGACTTCCTTTCAAAAGAGTTGTGCTTGTGAGACACCGCCACCACCTGTATAACGGAGGAGGAGTGGCTTGAACTCTTGGCTTTACTAGATCAAATCCCGGGCCTCGGAAAACATTAAAGTGTGTCATGGGTAACAAAGGCAATCCTTGTTTCAATTCTTGGGAATGGAGACTTGGCGTTGTTTGTCTTTGAGGGTAAACAACGCTGGGGAAACACTGACAAGACAACACCGAGGCTGTTGGAAAAAGGGGGGCAGTAAATAATCAACACAGCCATGTCGATTCACGTGAAGTATGCGTACCACGCTACTGACGAATAACATTGTAATTAAGAGACAATGAACCATTCCGAAGGGACGGAATGTCGATAAGCGTGAAATATAGTACCTGGAATTTGGTACTTTGTGGGGGTAAATTTTCATGTGAAAACGTTTCATTTTGACGGAAAAATTTCCGTATTTGGTATGTCCTTACGTATTTGGTGTGTTTTTACGTGGGGTGGATTGTGAAAGTTAGTATTCCTTAATACGTTGCTTCATGTCATGGTATTCCAGCAGTTCCAGCCTTTGCGGTCATGATTTTACAACTTTTGAAGAATAATCGAACACACTCTTTCTGTTCCTAACTCGAAGAGTGTCTTTAAATTAATAGCCCAACTCTTTTTGGAGCACAGCTATAGCATACAAAACCATATGAAAGCCTTCTGATGACTGATGCGATACCCTCTTTCGGTAGCCGTGGTTAAAGTGTTTTCTTTCGGTTCGGTTCCCCCATGAATATGCACAATATTTGAAGTCCTTGTCTGAGGTCCCTGTGGTGATATGTGGCTTTGACCGAGCGTTTGAGAGGGTAAACAAAATAACGGGGCTCGAACTACCACTCTATGGGCAGATCATGGGGCGGCAGTTAACATAAGTTTGGTTTCGTCACTTTTCACTCTCATGTCATATGTTTACAATCAGGTTAAGAAGGGAGGAGGGACGATGGAGTAGCTTAGTGGTTACAGTGCTTGCTCATCCAGCCGAGTGCCAGGGTTTGATTCCCCACAAAGATCTGTATAATATTTCAGGACCATTTCCAGTGTACCCCGTGCCGATATATTTTGAAGACTACTAAACCTGGCGTAAATTCCTGCTCACTCACTTATTTGAATGGTCACAACTATGGTGATAAATGGTGCTGACGAACCATGGATCTGATTGTAGGAGAATCTGGCACCCGAACCCAGGATGAATGTAACACATTCCCCAGACCACCTATATATCCACCTATATGGATTCTTGCCTTTGGATAGTAAGACGTGTTTATGGAAGGTAAATCATCGGATGTAACAAAGTCGAATATCTCTTAAGGTGCGATACACAGGAGTTTAATACAGACATTGTTCGTGTCAACAGTGAATTACAGTTATGACGAAGTGATGTGAAATGTCTCTGTATCATACCTATCCAGATGGTCTTGGTGTCATTTAGGTCGATTTCGTAATTTAATGCTCAAACATATTTAATGCTCAAACATATGTGATTTAAAAGTTACAGCCATTCTCGAAATCACTGCTAATTCCCCCTACACTGTGTGACTTGAACTGTTTTATTCAAATGAACAAGTGGGTAAATATCGGTCAATTCTATGAACTACAGATCAGGCATGTTTTGAAAGAGTTTGTATTCGTTTCAAAGAAATGGGTTTTAAAATGAACTTTTCGAAAATTCGTAGCGGTTGCAAAGAGTGCTTCTTTGTGTCGCTATACATTTACTTTGGCGAATAAATGACTAAAATCGCGACTGCTTTAAACTGAGTGGCAAACAATATTTCAAAAAGACAATGCACTTGTTTGTATGAACATATTTAAAAATAAAACCCTGTTGATCCACAGAAATACTAGGCACGCACGGAAAAAGATTAACACTTTCAAAATTGTAACTTCACACTATAACATACCAGGATCTTATTTTATCCGGGAGCTAAAACGGTAAACACCGTTTAGACCTTGTTGTCCCGACAAAGGGTTGACCATCACGCTTGTCAAACGGTTCAGAATTAGAATGTTGAAACAACATCAAGATGAGAAAATGCGAGAATGTTTAAATTACGAAAAGGCGGGAAATCTGGTAATGAATGCTTCATTGTGGTAAAGATGCGGGCCAATAAACTGATGCATTTAAACAACGTGTCACTATGCCTGACACAAATGAGGGTATTTGAGGCCATTTAGAAGTCCCGTACTGTAAAGACATAAAAACCATGAACTTTTACATGGTTTAAGGAGCGCATGACCTTAGACCATGGACATTCTAGCTACAAAATAGTAGTAAACGAGTTGTTATATTTATGACAAATATTATTTACATCACAACGTGTGAGAATGTCATGAATATGTCCCTGTTACGTTTCATATATAGTCGCAGAAAGTTGGACACGCCCTTCCAACCCATTCCAACCTCTCATCCCGGTGAAACAACAAGTTTCACAATACAAAACCTGAGTATAAATGTTTTGAAACTAAGAAAGCCATACATATGTATCAGACACATAACACGACTGCAGTATGATCGATATCAAATTGTTGGGTATCATTCAGTGTTGAGTCTCTGTCAATAACTACATTTTGAAAGGTCAAATTGTGTTACATGAATCATCGTAAGCTGCCAATTGATCACAGCAACTGAAGAAAACAGCCATGGGATACAGTAAAGCTTGTTCAGGGAAACGTGATTCAGATACAGAGAGATTTAATCTGAGATAGAAACCTAGCACGAAACATCGGGCAATTTGGATAAAAAAAACAAACAAACTGTGTGGTTACATTAGATATAGAGAAACTAGCATTACATATTGAGAAAGTTGGGTAAGGTACAGAGAAATTTGGATCAGACATAGAGAAACTTGGGTTAGTTACAGAGAAATTTGGATCAGACATAGAGAAACTTGGTTAGTTACAGAGAAATTTCGATTCTATATAGAGAAACTGGGGTTAGATACAGAAAAATGTGGATCGGATATAGAGAATATTGGGTTAGATACAGTGAAACGTGTATCGGATACAGGGAAAGTAGGATCAGATCTGGAGAAACTTGGGTTATTACAGAGATATTCGGATCAATTGTGGAGAAACCTGCGTTATCTCAAAGATCTCATCACAGAATCCACCCCATCAAGAGCTCTTCGATCCCAGATCATTCGACAAGGGATCTTTCGGACACACAGTTCCATGTCTGTGGAACTCTCTACCTGTCAAACATTTAACTTTCTGATTCTCTCGCAAGTTTTAAATCTCGCTTGAACGATTATCTCTTCAAGAGCACCTATTGCTAAAACTTCAAACCCACAATGTATATTTTGTTGTATATCATCCTCTGATTGTATTTTAGCCCCGTGAGCATGTACAAGTCGCATTATAAATGTCCATTGGTATAATGATTAGATATAGAGATGCTTGGGTTAGATACAGAGACAGTTAGATAAGATACAGATAAATGTGGATCATAAGTAGAGAATGTGAATCAGATACAGATGGATATCAGATGTATTGTCCACGGCCCATATTGCCGTGAGCTGATGGATAATGACGATGCATTGATAGTTACAATCCTACCGATCGGATGTACTTAAGTCAGATATATTAAGATTATATTTTAGCTGTAAAGAAAAAAATACCCAAGTCTGTTCATCCACTATATAGCTTACCTCCACATCACAGCCTCACTTTAATATTCTATATAGATATATAAAACTATTGTCGGAGAACAGGGATCAATGTGGTGCTGTTTGTGAATAATAATTTAATATGAATTCTGATAAATTTATTCAGTTTACGAAATCGTTTTTGAATAACATATATCGTACCTTGTGCATTTCCGCTCTTTCCTACTTGCACTGAACAGGGCCAACAGATCAAAGAAACAAACAAGAGAAACAAATAAACTTTTACCGCTTCACGTATCTTTGATAAACGTACCTCTACGAGTACTGGCCATTGAAGACCTTCCCATGTTGCTCAAAATCCCTCCATTTCCTCAGTTACCCTATCAAATTGATGGACAGACCAAACATTTGCCAAGACGTCAAGGAAGACACATACTGTCCGTTCCCGGTAACTTCTTCATTGATGAGTTCGAGTAAACAGCGCTCGCACTACCCACTTACGAACACGTTTACGCAACTGCCTCCTTACGTTACAGTCACAGTGCTGTGTTTAGAGGAACTGGAATGGTTGTTCATCAGGTCAACATACACGGCCAAGACCCGGAAATTGAACAAGGCAGATGGCACTGCAGAGGCTCAAACAACTGACTGTGGAGAACTGGGCACTGCAAGGTGCAGTGTTTACACAGTCTTTCTTTTTGTATTTAAGTGCTAATTTGTTTCTCTTTTTTTATCAATCTGCTTTAAAGTTGGGCATACAAACTAAATTAGAACAACTCCAATACTACTGTAGGGATCGTGGTTTATTGCTTTAGCTGCCATAATTCAAATTTTCTTAGGCCGAAGATGCAACGATTCTATCATATTATTTAATACATGTAAACTGCTAATACAAATTATGTTCCTATCATGCGTATACTTAAGTTACAAATATCCTGCATTCTTCCACATTATTTGTGAATAACTAATTTGCGTAAAACAAGTCGGTTGTAAAAGCAATCAACAATCCGTAAAACGCCGATGCACGAAAAAGCATCACTTACTTATACTCAGCTATGGACTCTCCAACTGGAATAGTTTTTACTGAATTACATTCAACGCATTTCGAACATTGTTTTCCTTAGTTCAAACGAGTCTCTATGATTGCCAATCTCACTTTAATAAGCATATCATTTGTCCTCCCATTTAAGCCTATATCCGACACTGATAGACATGGAGAAAGTCAAACCATGCCTGTCAGTACTTCTTGTACGAATGTCTTAACTGCACTACCCTCTAATTCAAACGTCTCCACAATTGAACTTTGAAATTTGAAATCATTCTATTTTGACATCTAACACCACAATACACTATGTTCGAGTTCCCTTAATCATGTAATTTTCGCT